GAGAATCACCGAGGGCCCTCGTGCCTCCAGCACAAACCTGGCCACCACAGCCAGCCCTTCGCTCCCTGCCATGAGTCTCACGCTGGTTTCTGATAGTGCTGCTCATTGACAAAACTAGAGCAAGACTCAGATTGCCTGGCCCATTTCAAATATATTTTATCTCCAGTTCCTGGCACTGACATTTCTACAGGCCCATAACAAACATCAGAACTGCTGCAAATAGGGAACAGGTAGCACACCAGTACCTACCTTCTCTGTCTAACTGGTTGTGTCAGACCTGATGCTACTGGGAGAAGCTAAAAGAGAAAGAAAAATGGTATCTGAAATCCACATGGTACAGCTGAACCCATTGCTCCCTTGGCAGTCTCAGCAGAGACACCAGTGTCTGGACCAGCACAGGGCTGAATTTTTTGGTTGTCTGTTTGCTGAACTGCTGCCTGTGTTGCATGTGCTGGCTGGGTGGCAAACGGAGCGACGGGGCTGCTCGGAGCTGCTGCACAGGGCTCACGCACGCTGTCAGGCCAGTACTGGCAAAGAACTCACGTCCAAACTGCAGAGCCGACTCACTTGGCTTCAGGCCCTATATGCAACAGCCCTGTCAGATACGACATGACGGGCGCGCAAGCGCTGCCTGCAAAAGCTGCTTGTGCCAGGGTAACTGTGCAAGCAGAACGATAAACACCTACCTGCCCCGGTGCACTCCTGCGGGCACAGCCCTGGCAAGCAACCAGCTGAGCAGAAAAACAACTGTGGTGCACAGCCCTGCCCAAGCGATTACTCAGTCTAGCTGGGAGGGAAAATGTAGCTCCAGGTCCTCAGGAACGTGCCTATGTCAGGGCTCCTCGCCCAGCGGGCCAGGCCAGGCAGAGGAGGCAGCTGGGCCAGGAAGGGGAGCACTGCGGTTCCCCTGGCTTCAGTTCCCCCGCCGCCGATGCGACGCCCTGGTTCTTGGCATGAATGGGAGCTGTTAAGACTGTTCGGAGTGAGGGTGCTCTGCCCTCGCCATGTGCATTCGGCCCCTGCAAAGCCACATCTCCAGCTGGGCACAACCCACCGCCTCTGTGGCTGGCGTGGGGGCAGGCTGCTTTCCCCTCCCTCCTGCCAGGCTGCTGTGGATGCCTCTGGGGCTGCGAGCCCTGTTAAATGACCACCGCTACCTGGGATGTTCACTGTGCAGCTCCACCCTCCTGCAGAGCAGTGGTGTGTTTAAGTTCCCATCCTGTGGAGTGCTGAGCATCCCCGATTCTCCCTGGTTTCCATGGGTGCCCATCATGCTGTACCTTTAGAGGACAATAGCTTTCCAGGCTGCTTCGCCTTATTCCCATGGATTTTCAGAGCCTCCCCCCACTGAAAATCTGCCCCCATGATTGAGAGAGGGTTACCTGGCTGTCCCAGTGAAATAGCAGCCAAAACCCCACCTGTATGGAATCAGCGATGGCTTTGCCTCTGCAGGTGTGTGCCCAGCTGTGCCGGAGACCATGCTACTGCCCCTGGGTGCCACCCCGCTGCCCCCGCGGGTCCCCCCTGGTCCTGGATGGCTGCGGCTGCTGTAAGATCTGCGCCCGGCGCCTGGGAGAGCCCTGCGACTTCCTCCATGTCTGCGACCAGAGCCAGGGCCTCGTCTGCGACTACAGCGCACTTTGCCTCTGCAGGTGTGTGCCCAGCTGTGCCGGAGACCATGCTACTGCCCCTGGGTGCCACCCCGCTGCCCCCGCGGGTCCCCCCTGGTCCTGGATGGCTGCGGCTGCTGTAAGATCTGCGCCCGGCGCCTGGGAGAGCCCTGCGACTTCCTCCATGTCTGCGACCAGAGCCAGGGCCTCGTCTGCGACTACAGCGCAGCAACCACGGGGACAGGAGGCACCTGC